ATTATTAGGTTATCTACATTATTATGTAAATAACAAAATAACTTAAAGCAAAAATTGGGAAATGTAAAGTCCGAAGTCTTTATATTAAGGGCCATCAGTCAAACAATATTGTTTGCTCTGGGTCTAAACAGAGCGCGTTGTGTGTGACGTCTTCTTTTGCGCATGCGGGCCGCTTTGAGCGTTCACACTAGAGCGCGTTTGCTGTCACTGTCACATTTTATTTGTAGTGTGAAAAAAAATCGGATTTGATCAAAAAATCTGAATTGAGCATTAAGACCTGTAGTCTGAACGTAGTCTTAGTGGCTTTAATTACTACTTTAACAGTTGTCAAAATATAAGAGACAGTTGTTAACTGCTTCTTTCCCCATTTCATATTTTGACATTTCCATTTGTAACCAATAGAAAAAAGGTATTGCACCATGCAAAAAGCCAAATATACTGATAGACTGTGGCATTTGTTTGTGTGCAGCTGGGATTCTCAATCAAGAACAACCAGCCTTTACATTATGTCCAATCTTAACTTGTATCTCATCTTAATCGAACAGTATGTCAGAAAAATGTAGCTTACGGAACAGTTTTTGATGTATGAACTGCAAAAAAACAACACCTCATAAAGCAAACCCCCCCAGTCACCCAGCAACCGGTCAACCAACTAAATCTGCCTTCTTAATGATGCTGGCAACTTTTCCATCTTTGGCCTGGATTGTGATTGATGCGTGGTTTCTCGGAAACCTAACGGAGTTTTTAGGTTTAACCATTAACAAACATGCTATGGGTATTTATCCCAATGCATCATTGCTAAACGACAATAATTTGAATAAAAAACATGGCTTGCGATCTTTAAGTTAAAAATTAATAGTAGATCAATGAAATATTTTATGCTTAATGATCTAGAAGTTTTGACATTTTCAGAAACATTAAAAAAAGTAAACCATGAAACTTTTGGACTTTAGCTCGGTTTTCACAAGCTGCATCACAAATATATATATGAAGAGTAGAGGAGATTTATGTAGTACCTTTTCTGTTAAGCTTATCTGCCATTCTTTGATGTAGGAGTGAAACAAATTATCAATGACAACATACTGTATTACTACCAATATGATGCCAATATCAAGTGTTGTCATTTTTAAAATTAGCAGGTTCTATGATTCTCTATGGAGGAGCTTAGTCAACTTATTTTTATACTGTACTCATACGTTGGATAACTAGTGAATTTAACTGATTATAGGAAACCTGGCATACAGATTTAGTTTCCTGCTGGAATCACAATGCTTTCATTTCAAAGTAGCACACACTCACCAATCAATCACTTCAACTGGGCATTGGGTTGGATACTCAATAATGGCAGAAGTGAAACTACCTCGGGCTGTCAGATACTTAGTCTTACAGCACTATATTCTTCAGAAAACTCATATATAATACACAGCTGACAGTGGCTTTCAGTGTACTTTCAATTTAATGTATGTAACCAATATCAAATTACTATATTTGACGCATAGTCCAAATGTATATATGTCTTTGTTTAGTCCCCTTGTATTTATGTACAATTATGCACATTAACTTAGGCATTAATACCTAAAAAATTAAAAATTAAAAAAAAAAAAAAAATGACCACTCTATACAACCACAACAGAAAGAACTACTTGCCAGACAGACAGGCGATTCATCTCTGAGATTAATCATAAACTCTTGATATTGTGAACAAGTACTTCATTTTCACAAGCCAAATTATTTTTAAAACAAAAAACAATGATGAATGCCTACCTTCAAAAGTCATTGCATAAGCCAATAATATCAGACACTGACACAAAGAAGACACAGAAAGAGTGTCAGAAAATACGCTTGCGTGCTGTAGTCATTTTATTTCATCGTCCAAGTGAGGACTCTAGCCACATGTTTCAAAAATAGCTATATTTTCTGTTCAAGCATAAGTTGTTCTGCTAATACTGTGACTGTAAATAATTAAAGTTGTGCTGGCAGGGGATCTGCTTTATCTAATATAAAAAGGCCAGTAGCATGTGGGCTGAGGAGACAAATTATCATGAACATCTGATCCTGGACAAGTGCCAGGGAACATGTGAATTGCGGCCACCTGGACAGCAAGCTTCCCAAAGTCTGTTTCAGACAAGGGGTTAGATCAAAGAATGGCCTCAAACACTTGAAGTCTAATTTATGCAAGTAGGGACCAAAATAAATAAATAAAAATCGCAGCATTCATAATGAATTTATGCAGCCATTTGCTTCTCATTAATAGTTAGGGGGGAAAAAACTAAATAAAGAACAAATTCTTAGTGTTAATTCTGTAAAAAAAAAAAAACATCTTTCCTATAGTCCAGACTAGAAAAGGGAGCCAATAGGTTTACATAATGTTCCCTTATGCATGAGCAGCCACATTCACACCTCAGTATGGATGTCAACTTTAGCATCCCCTACCCGATCAGCACACAGTGACACTCCATCAGGACCGGATGCAAACAGAGTGTGAGTGGGAAGAGGAGTGTGAGAGGAAAGAAGTACAACAGGATCCAAGATTTGATGCATATCCATATCCCCCCCCCCCCTCCCATATCAAATAGGAATAATCTGCCCCCAGGAGCAATAAGCCAAGGATCTCTATACTGACTCTGTGTAGAAGTAGTAACTGTGAAAGTTGCCCTATGGACTCTGAAAGAACTGTAAAAGCAAATTTTTAACTAGTTAACAATAGAACACTTTTACAAAGGGCTGCTCTATCACAGCATAAAATGCAAGTAAACCTTCTACAACCAGGATATCATTGAATCAAAGTATTCAAGGGCTCTGGATTTTACTTTACGGGTTCATAGACCAGACAGCCAGCAATACTAGGTTACTGGCTTCTGTCCATAGTTTTAAGGTCACGGATCAGTCAGGAAAAAATGCTACTTGTGATGCAGACTAAGCCAACAATGGTGCTTAAAAGCTGTGAAAGAGCACACATAAGCAAACC